GAGTGTCCCGGGTTACATCACACGGATATTGATTTCAAAATAAGAGGGCATCGATAACATATCTGATCAACAACAACAAAAACTCGAGATCGAGGTGAAATTTCACGTTAACAGGACTCCGAAAGTGATCGTCGCAGATTGTTACAAACGCACAGTACTCGCATCTCTCGTGATTCTCGTGTACACACCTCCAAGATTAGCACAGCCAACCAGCGACACGTAAATACATCACAGTGCTCAACGATAGTGATGAAAACATTACTGTGCTCTGCTTAAACTCGCGTGTTCCCCCATTGTATCTGACCCAGGTAATACCTTGCACGATATTCCTGTATGACAGGTTCCCGCTTGGTTTAAATTTAATTTTGGTGCTGGTGGTGTGTGGAGCGGTGGCGCAAGTGTTAGGGGCCGTCCATAAATAACGTCACGCACCTAGAGGGGGGGGGGGTGTCAGACATTTGTGACGATGTGTGACGAGGGGGTTGAGTAATGTGACGTCACATCAAAATGCGCAACTTTAAACAAATATAGACAACACGTTCTACTTAATTCAATAGACCTTTTAATAAATGTTTTCTCCTACAACATCAGAGTGCAGCGCCACATTAAATACGCACATCGACAATAGTTTAAAGCGATTTGAAGCATGTCTTATTTTTGGGGGGGGCAGAGCTTTGTGACAACAAATTTGAGGGGGGTCTGACTTATTGTGACGCCGTATGACAAAGGGGGGGGGGGGTAAAACATCGTCCAAAATCGCGTGACGTCATTTATGGACGGCCCCTTAAGCGCGCCACGCTACATACCTGGCGACCAGAGTTCAATTCCTGCTCACGGCCAACACCATTGACAATTATGTGAACCAGTCAATGAAAAAATGTATGCAACTACATCAACCATAGGAAAGAAATAAGTACGGACTGATGAAGAGGGTGCAGGACCAGGCGAGATATCATGCTCCACTGAATTTAGCCGTGGCTAGAAAGTAAACTTAAGTTATTTGTTGAGTATTCTTGGTTCTTTCGGTAAAGTCGCGTAGAAGGGAAATGATAAAAGAATACAAATAAAATAATAATAAAACAATTGTTTCATTTGTATTATTTCCCTTCTACGTGGTGACTTTACCGAAAGAACCAAGAATATGAATCCCTGCAGTCACGAAAGCTTTAAATCGAAATGTATTTGTTGAGCTTTCATTTGTGGCCATGTCTCGCTTCTGGTGGAATGGGGATGGTTTCCTGTTGTATTTGTTTGTTTTTGGGTGATTTGTTTACCTTGCTTGTACGCTGCACTCCGATCGTGCTTTTGTACTGTTTGTTGTTGTAACGTGCTTACCCCGTGCCCCTACTGGACATCTGCGAAAAAGAGCTTCATAGCTCATCGGACTCCTCCAGTATGAATACATATTGTGATTCTGAAGTCGCTGGGTTCATAGCAGAGTGCGCTAACAATATGTCACCCACATGTGAATATTAGACCCTCACAAAAAAGTGTGGAAGAAATCAATAACCGGCAATCGCCGATCATTCGTTGCAACGTCACCGAGGTGTACACTCATTGCCAGGGTCAACGCAGGGTGAATGACTATTTATGACGGTCACAGTTATAAACCGTGCAGCAGACAGCACTCACCACTGCATTTAAAATTAAATGGGCATTTTTCAAAAGTGCCCGGAACGACCCCTGGAGCTGTTATCCCCGGTACCCGTGAGGTTTTCTCCGTTTCCACTCTCTCTCTCTCTCGCAAAAACACAAGACAAGGCGTTGGGGGAAAACGTTGCACACAAGATCATCTTGTAAATAATGGAGTCACACTCGTGGAGAGATTATGGAAATAAACATACGTTGTAATGTTTAGAAACATGTTTTAAATTATCCTCCATGTATCGAGAAAGCCTCACTGAATCCAATCATATTTTATCGGGAACATATCTTTGATGGATCCGAATTGATATGAATACACCTCTAGCTTATGGAGAAAACCCACCGCGCATACGAGGGAATAACACAAGTCCGCAAAGACGAATCAGGAAGCCACTTCATCTCCTGCTATTGCCTAGCCATCTTGAATCCCTCTGTGTGTTTTGGGAGCCTTTCAACACACGACGATGTTCATCTCTGCATAATCCACCAACCCCCGCATCCACAGCGCAACAGCAGCGTCGCGCGAGTGATCTCCACACGCACAGGGCCCCCACGGGGAGTCGCACCCTTGTCTGGATCTTGAGCCGTAGCATCTGCGTGCCCCCTACCGGCGGGACGATGGGAGTTTCGGGACTAAACTGGTCCAAGAGGACAGCGTTCCACAACTCCAGTCACCCACAACTCCAGTCATCCGCCCCACCACCACGGTACAGATTTCCGTAATGATCAACCATAACGAGGGGCGCAGCGTCTTAATTTGACCGCGAGTATACGAGATCTGCAGTCACGGAAATGTGGACCAGAGTGGGATTGCAAGGACTCGAGTCGAAAACACAGCCACATAGAATATTCCTCAGGAGGCAGATTGTCCAGTCTTCATGTTCCGCAGGAGTGACTCGTCGACTCGTCACTGTTGTTGAGAATTGATTTTAAAAACATAATGTGCCGCAGGAGTGACTCGTCGACTCGTCACTGTTGTTGAGAATTGATTTTAAAAACATAATGTGCCTACCTGTTTTTCTTTTTAAATACAAAAAAAGCATGGGCATACAACCCAAGAGCTCAACTTCCAGGATGAAAAGATCTCAAATCCTGGCAGGTGGATGGCTTAGGGGTTGGACACACGAAGCCCAGCACTGCTGAGAGACGAAGTTCAAATCCAGGTTTTAGCCGCCCCTGGTTAAACCGGATGTTTTAGGGTAGCTTCAGTCATTGCAGTTCTGAGGGTGCCACGGTGTCTAGATGTTAAGTACCTCACCTGTTAACTACCTTTCCTGGTATACAGGAGGTTGTGGGTTCGTCTCCGACCCTGACGCCTGCAGCATATTTGGTGTTTGCGCGTTCTCTCTGTGGTTGCATGGATTTTTCTCCGAGTCCTCCGGTCGTTCCCTCCACATTTGCAAACGTGCGTTTAGAGTATTTGGTTGCTATACATGTCCACATGATAAGCCACTTCGTTGAGCTATCGTTTGTGTCCAGGTTGCTTCTGAAAAATAACTACAAAGCTCAGTGGGCCTTACCTGGTAAAATAAAAAGTAGAGGTTTTTTTTATAGTTGAGAATGAACATGTGATGGGCGTCATTTGCAAGGTGTGTAAAAGTTGTCTACTCCAGTAGTTCATCAATATCTTAAGTTATTCTCTGACACAGGGTAGTGCATTGCTCACTGCGAAGTAAATGTTTTGCCTCATGATTTCATGCTTTTAGCACATATTGCGAAAATGAAAAAAAAGCTAAAACATTAAGGACCTTAAGTCCTTAAAAGTTATGCGACTGCCCTTGTCACAAGGATTTCATTTCCCACAAGAAAAATAATGCAAGTTGGCCAAAGAGACTGCATGTGCTGTGATTTTACACTCACTAGTGTGCCCGTACAGTGAGGGAAAAAGTATTTGATCCCCTGCTGATTTTGTACATTTGCCCACTGACAAATAAATGATCAGTCGATAATTTTAATGGTAGGTTTATTTGAACAGTGAGAGACAGAATAACAAAAAAAGCCAGAAAAACGCATGTCAAAAATGTTATAAATTGATTTTCATTTTAATGAGGGAAATAAGTATTTGACCCCCTCTCAATCAGAAAGATTTCTGGCTCCCAGGTGTTTTTTATACAAGAAACGAGCTGAGATTAGGAGCACACTCTTAAAGGGAGTGCCCCTAATCTGAGCTTGTTACATGTATAAAAGGCACCTGTCCACAGAAGCAATAAATCAATCAGATTCCAAACTCTCCACCATGGCCAAGGCCAAAGAGCTCTCCAAGGATGTCAGGGACAAGATTGTAGACCTACACAAGGCTGGAATGGGCTACAAGACCATTGCCAAGCAGCTTGGTGAGAAGGTGACAACAGTTGGTGCGATTATTCGCAAATGGAAGAAACACAAAAGAACTGTAAATCTCTCTCGGCCTGGGGCTCCATGCAAGATCTCACCTCGTGGAGTTGCAATGATCATCAGAACAGTGAGGAATCAGCCCAGAACTACACGGGAGGATCTTGTCAATGATCTTAAGGCAGCTGGGACCATAGTCACCAAGAAAACAATTGGTAACACACTACGCCGTGAAGGACTGAAATCCTGCAGCGCCCGCAAGGTCCCCCTGCTCAAGAAAGCACATATACATGCCCGTCTGAAGCTTGCCAATGAACATCTGAATGATTCAGAGGACAACTGGGTGAAAGTGTTGTGGTCAGATGAGACCAAAATGGAGCTCTTTGGCATCAACTCAACTTGCCGTGTTTGGAGGAAGAGGAATGCTGCCTATGACCCCAAGGACACCATCCCCACCGTCAAACATGGAGGTGGAAACATTATGCTTTGGGGTTGTTTTTCTAAGGGGACAGGACAACTTCACCGCATCAAATGGACGATGGACGTGGCCATGTACCATCAAATCTTGGGTGAGAACCTCCTTCCCTCAGCCAGGGCATTGAAAATGTGTCGTGGATGGGTATTCCAGCATGGCAATGACCAAAAACACACGGCCAAGGCAACAAAGGAGTGGCTCAAGAAGAAGCACATTAAGGTCCTGGAGTGGCCTAGCCAGTCTCCAGACCTTAATCCCATAGAAAATCTGCGGAGGGAGCTGAAGGTTCGAGTTGCCAAACGTCAGCCTCGAAACCTTAATGACTTGGAGAAGATCTCCAAAGAGGAGTGGGACAAAATCCCTCCTGAGATGTGTGCAAACCTGGTGGCCAACTACAAGAAACGTCTGACCTCTGTGATTGCCAACAAGGGTTTTGCCACCAAGTACTAAGTAATGTTTTGCAGAGGGGTCAAATACGTATTTCCCTCATTATCATGCAAATCAATATATAATATTTTTGACATGCGTTTTTCTGGATTTTTTTGTTGTTATTCTCTCTCTTACTGTTCAAATAGACCTACCATTAAAATTATAGACTGATAATTTCTTTGTCAGTGGGCAAACGTACAAAATCAGCAGGGGATCAAATACTTTTTTCCCTCACTGTATGTACACATGCCCTTGGAGGCTAGGATTACACCATGGCCACTTTCGAATACAGAAAAACATGTCACTCGGATCAGACGAACGAGACAGCGTGGGTTTTGAAGTGAGACTGTTGGTAAAATCCTCCAACTGAATTTACAACTGAAAGGGGGAGAACGCGTTGACGTGGAAGGCTCGAGACACGACGCTGACTCATGCAGCTGAGTCAATATTAACAGGTTGCAGCCCCTTACACGAAAAAAGCACGAGGAATTGTATCATCCATAATCAACAAACACAAGATTGGTAGTCATCACATGCATTTGGCCCGTATCGCCCAGAAATAATTCGTTGATTGTGGAAATAAGTTAAAAGGGCTGGCGGTCTCAGATTCACATAATGAAATATAACTCACAAGTTCAGATGTCCAGTTAACCAGATAAGAGGCCTATACTAATTATCATGATGGCTAAAGACTACTTTCTGCCAATATTTGGGGGGACAATGGCTAAATGCTAATTTGGCAGAAATCTCCTGCCGGCACTTGAATTAGGTCCCAGTTTCTGCACAATGGGACAAAGGTAAAGGACATTTGAAAAGTAATTTACTCAAGTATGTCTCACTTGAAGTGGATACAATGCTCCTGCAGGTTTTCAGTTTGATCTGCCCTCTTTATCTCTCCAAAGGTCTTCCACTTTGCATTCAGTGAAATTCTCAGCGATTAAAAGGAATGGCTCCATGCGGTTCTAAAGCCAGCCATTATGAATCACGAGGGTCACGTGAAACCCGGCATCGTTGTTAATGTTTCTCTGAAGTGTAAATAACAGCGGGTGCTAGGTCGAAGCTAAACGACGAATGTTGAGTTCTGTGCTTTGGCTATTGAGTGGATGTTGAGTTTTGTGTTTGGAAGGTGTAAAACTGCAGCGTGAATGGTTGCGATAAATGTGTCCACACCAGCACAATGCAACACCAGGCACAGACCCCGTGCCAGATGAACGTAGACATGACTGTGAGGGTTACTTGGCGGTGGCTGGGGACCCAGGCGGACGAGTCAGGAGGGGGCATGGCTCTTCCTGTGTACCCAAGAACAGCCCTGAGCCTGTGGTAAAAGGTGGGGGGGGGGGCAGAGGAGGAAATGACCAAGGTTTTCTTTTTGTGAATGTGTGGCCTGAAGTTCATCTGAAAATTTACTTCAGGGAAATATTCCTTAACCCTGCCATATATGATGATCCACGCTCTTAATTAAAACCTTACGAAAAGACGAAGTTATAGATGCATGTGTGTATGTATGTATGTATGTTGAACTTCTTTCGCACCGTACATAGCCAACCATGCTAATCGTGGGTGCGGGGGATGATCAACAAACCAAACACAAAAAGCAGTTCTAAAGAAATTAGTTTTCAATGTAGATTTTTTTTAAAGTGAGTTTTGAGTTCATGCTGGGGTGCCCCGTGTGCGAGCACTGTCGTACCCCACAGTGAATCACGCGAACCAACAGGGGTCCCTTTCCATCCTCCGCCACCTCCACTCGGCGAGGAAACTTGCTGGCTGACGTAAGGCTGCAAAGACAAAGATTGTTGGTTATGATTGCAAGTTGCGATATACCAGCCCATGACGTCGCAGGTGAGATATTTCAATAACAGCAAGGAAATTGTAGTCATTGTCCATTTGATATTCTGCCACACTGTGTGTGTGTGTGTACATTTGGAACCCGAATTTTTGTTCGTTATTCAGTTTTGGCTTGGTCACAGTGACGTCCTATACTGGGCACCTGCCGGTATTGTCGCGGTCTGTTCTGGAGCCCATGAGCACCGCAATGACCCCACGTGTGCCAGGGTCACCGATTGGCAGTGCTGTGAACTTGCCCCCTTGGCGGCCCGTGCCGATAACGAGATCCAAAGAACAACGCGGTCCTGATTGCTGCAGGAAACCACGGAGGGCTCGGCGGTCAGGCAGTAAGAGCCACTGTTATAAAATATCTGTGGGCTGAGGGGCTTGGGTGCTGTGGTTGAGATTACGGTGGTGATTAGTGTTTTTGTTAGGGTGTATGCCCGTTTCAGGATTACAGGTTAGAGCGAGGGTTACGATGTGGCGAGCATTAGGTTTACAGTAAAGGTTTGATGTGGGGCTAGAACCAAAGTTAAGTTGACGCGAGGGTTCAAAATGATAATTATTCAACCTCTTTGCTCTGTCACCATCGTAACGCACACTGCCTCAAAGTGTACAGGATGTTGACGTCATATTCTATTCTTTACAAATCCACATCTCTTATTACATTACTCAAAGACGGATTTTGGTCGTAGTCGTGAATCTGGACCACCCCTACCGTCGCCACCCACCACTATCACTGTTGTGTGCACACTGCCCCCCCCGTCCCCTTCCACATCCTCCACCACCACCCAAACCAGCCCAATCTCCGTGTCTTGGGGGAGAGGTGGGGCCTAAACAGAAAGAGGCGGGGCCTAAAGAGGAAGGGGTGAGCCTGAAGAGGAAGGGGTGGGGTCTAAAAAGGAAAGGCACAGGGAAAAGACATTGGGGCCGAACAAGGAAGTGGCGGGGTCTAAATAGAAGAGGTGGGGACCTACAGAGGTCGAACTTTTTGGTTGATTTAAGGCAACAGGAGCACAGACTCAATTACGTGCAGCAGGCAGCATACCTTTAGTGCGGCAGAAGCCCAACTGGCCAACTAGTCTGTTTTTTTTTTCCGGCTGTGCCTAGGAAGAGGGCTAAGGCTAGAGGAATTGCGATTATGGGTATCAATTAAAATAAATGTGCCAGCCATGCTCAGAGCTATGGTTTTTGTTAAACTGACATCCAGTATATGGGATAAGCCGGTGCCTATACTTTTGCTTGTTAACACGACGGAAGGTAAAGGTTAGAGTTCAAAGTTTAGGCCAGAGGTCGAGTACGATGCTGTCCCTGCCATTTGACCTCTGGGTCTTACCGTGTAGCCAACGGCGGCATGGTGCAAGATAGCCGCCTGCCGCTGAAGCGAGGTCCTCAGAAACATCTCGTCCTTAACGGCATGCAGACTGTGCGCCAACACAACCCACAGCGTGGAAACACACGAGGCACGCAGTCATCGCTCATTGCAGTGGTCGAGTCGGCCAAGTAGCTAGCTCGCTCACTGCCGAGGCACGTCATGTGGAGTTGATTTCATCACTAATTTTTCGTGTGAATAGATGTTATATACCCTGTGACAGGATTTAACAGAAGGGCCTCTAGTGTGGCAGTGTCACAGTAAAAATCCCAGTTATGAGTACCATTCTATTACAATATTTACGTCACTGGGGTGGTGGGGTGGGGTGGCAACGCAGTTGTTCAATGCACTTGCACTGTGAACCCAGCCACTTGAGCGATTAGCGCAGTTGGATAAGTACGGTGCGAAATACGTTCAACATAGATATATTAATATTTCACTGATATCTTAACAGAATTTGGGCACCCCTTCACCAACCTGCCCTGGCCCGTGTGGTGAAATTTGGTCAAACCACTCCCACAATGGATATGGTATAGAAAGACCATCCTTCATCCAGCTGTTTACTTAAAAGATGCTGTATATTATCACGCAATTTAATCGCTGATTAATTGAGGACACCAAGGTCCTCCAAAAAAAACCTGCCGAATTAAATTTCAATGACAATGATTACATTTTCTAAATCACATGCGAACTGAGAGATTTTTCAAGGCACCAGCTGTCCGTGCTAAGGTCCGAGAGCTCGCAAAGGGTGGAGAGGGCCTGGCACTCCTCGGCGATGGCACAGCTGCCGGCGCTCACCTCTGCTGCAGCACGGCAAACTTCTGCTCCCACATCTTGTTTGTCCTCTCCAGCTGCTTCATGAGGCTGTTGAGACAAGCGCAGACGGTAAACAAACCCACCGTCGCCGCTTGCCCCCGAAAGAGATGAAACCGCTGCGAATATTTCCCGGCCCATTTAGATCACGAAAGATGAAAAACGCACTCATGCGCTGCGTTAAAGAGGCCTCATGTGGCGCTTGCGCGATCTGCCAGGCGTGCGTTTAACGTGGGCGAGTACTGGCAAGTGTGGGTGTGCGTGCAGTGGAGTACCGATTATCAGCGACGGTTATCTCAACCGGTCCTGGGCCTCCCCTAGGTCGACTCAGCCTCAAATTAGTACCTGGTGCAGTGCGTAAAAACATCGGCACTGGGGAGACAGAGGTGGCCGGGCGTGGTTGTTGGCCACCTCGTGTGCCGTGTCGGCCTTGATAGGTGCTCGCTAACATCAATTACCTCAACAGTCTGTTAAGGCTATACGGGGGGTCTTTGTCTTTGCAGTGGAGTAAACGGAGAAACCAACGTTCACGTTGGGAAGAATAAGGCGGCAGGGCATATGTGCAGTGCCATCCTGATTAGCGGTTCACTACCATGACTTATCTCAATAGTCTAAATATATTTAGACATTCTTCGAGCCATGTAAAAGCGCTGACCCAGTGACATCACTACAGGGCGACGACAGTGCGACTGAAAACGAGTTTACAGTTTGATCTTGTTACGAATAAAGCGTCAAACAAATGTCAGGCAGCATGGGGCATACCACCCAAGTGTGTATCGACAAGATAAGAGCTGTTTATTTTGGGTTGCATCTTATTGTGAGCATGCATTGCTGCACTTTAGAAAGGGATGCAACGACCACTACAAAAACCCCCCGAGCAGTAGTGTAGCCATGGATTGTGCCGGCGGTGCAACTGCAATGGGTTCCGCAGGCCGGACTACAAAGTGGAAGAAAGTGGGACAGGAGGCCCCTTTTATTCCTTGCCCCAGGGCCCGTGCCAACCCCGCTGCGCTGCTTCCCATGACCCATCGCCATTGGCTCTTGCACGGCCGACGGGCAGCGCCGAGACAAGCTGACAGGGAGGTCTCAAACACACGCAGGGCTCGACACTCCCGCACCGTGTGATCTGGGCCCTCTGGTCTTCCGTCTCCGCTCCTCCTTCCCAGCTTCTTGGAGACTCTCGTTTGCTTTTAGCAGAGGCCCTGGCCTGCAGGCGAGTGGAAAAATCACGCACCAAGGAGCGGATAGACACCAAGCTCAAAAAACGACACCAGCAACAGTTCTGTGATGGGAAATGTCCTCGGCAAGGAAAGGTGTTCTGTGGATCGCAGAGAAAGTCCCACCTCCAGGTTAACTCCTGAAAAGGGATGATCTAATTGCCATTGTTAAAAAAAAGAGGTTGGGAGGTCTATCGAGACCAGAAGTTTCTTTCTCAAGGGAGACTGGAAATAAACCAAATATTTCAAAACAGGTTCCTAAGTTCAAACAGAATTTAAACTAATTCCAGGTTTAGGAATATTACTTTGTTTAAAGATGAACAACATCAAATATATGAAAGAGCAACGGTCTTGCGGACTCCTCTTCACAGAGCTGGGCACGGCTGCCACACAGGCTCCTCTCTTTCTCTGGTTTATGCTCGCCCTGAAATTTCTAATCAGCCACAATTGGCAAATTGTTGCTGGGGTTTATTGCATGCGACGTCACGACAAAGCCTCAGAATAACTCAATCAATATCGCACCGACCACGCCATCTCCCACGGACGAGTGCACACGACCCTCTTTGTGGCGGTGTGTGGTGTCGTGTACGAAGCGTGCGGTTGTCAGACCGGGTGCTGGTGTTGACGAGGGCACGGGTCGTTTGCGGAGCTGTAAACACTGGCTTTCATTATAAAAGGTTTTTTTGGGGTTAGATCGCTTGAAAATATTAATGTAGCCGTTAACCCACCACCACCCGACACAGCCAGTTAGTAAGGTTTGTCACGGAAACAAAACGTGCCAATTAGTTACTAGTACAGCACACCGAAGTGTAGGAGAGTAAACCGACAATATTTACAATGTAATAACTGAGGCACCTACTTATACAAAATAATTATCAAAACACGGTTGAAGATCCAGCAGTGAATGGATCAGAGCTGATAATGATGAAGCACATAATATTAATATGATACATTGGGACCAATGTTTCTCGTATTCCAGACCTCATGTCCCCACATGGTAAAACTTTCTGAACTTACCAATCGTATCCAACCATATGCAAATTAATATGCTACGTTGCACAAACCCGATGGTTGATAATCACGGATTTTCAGCTCCATAACGAGATTGTCAGGACTGGAGTTATAGAAACACAAATTTTAGCTGAATGGAATAAACAAGATGGTACATATAAGGCAGACAACATAAATGAGACAGTACAAATGAGACAAATAAGAACTCATTCTTGAATGAAATTGTGACCATGATTCGTGACAATCAAATTGCAGGGAGAGAGGGGTAAATTGTTCATACAGGGCATAATTTTCCACTGAACATTTTCCAGGACAATGGCAAACTATAGTAGGTACGTGCATAGAAGCCACAACCACAGGCGCGAGGTGTACTGGATGTGGCATTCCAGGTGTGGAATTATTTTCCGAGCCGTTGACCTGGAAAGTCCCGGCTGAATACAACCTTGGTCAAATGCCGAGTGATCGCAGTCCGAGGCCCTGTGGCTGGAGGCAGACGGAGCCGCAAAAGAAGGAGAGTCGTTCATTCTTAGCTGCAGTCCCCATTGTCAATCACACAGACGGGGGGGGGGAGGGGGTTGATGGGGTGGGGTGGTGCCTACCGCGGCGCTGGCCTGCGCCGTTTCGGCAGCCCGGTGAGCATCTTTGAGGGACAGGGATTCTCGCTCCACCTCCCTCTTCTTTGACTCCACCGCCTCCTTTTCCGCCGCCTCTCGCTTGGCCAGTGCCTCGGCCTCGGCTGTCCTCTGCTTCTCGGCCCGCAGCTGGAGACGTCACGTCGGAAAAACCCCACCCACAGCTGTGAGCAGTGCAGTCTGGCAGATCCTGGTACTCTGAAACGATTTTTTTTTTATTTTACCAGATAAGGTCCTCTGAGCTATATAGTAGTTCTTTTTCAGAAGTGACCTGACTATCACAAATTATAGCTCAGCGAAATGGCTCATGAGAATAGGTTTTTCCCCTTTTTTTCTGGCAACAAAACAGCTGTGTTAAGATGTTAAAACACCAAACTGAAACCTTTTACAAGGAATCATGTCTGCATTAACCACAATGCTTGTGATCAGAATGCAAAAAAAACATAATCTTATAATATATGCATTGTCTTTGAAACAGAGGACGTCCTCTGGTCTAACACCGTTTGAGACGAGGCTCAGAAGAAAGCTGTCTCTGGTGTGGACCAATCAGTTTCAAGGACAATGCATCATATTATCAGAGTATGTTTTTTTGCATTCTGACCACAAGCATTGTGGTTAATGCAGACATTATTCCTTGTAAAAGGTTTCAGTTTGGTGTTTTAACATCTTAACACCTGTTTTGTTGCCAGAAAAAAAGGGGAAAAACATATTATCATATTTGGTACTGGCAAAGGAGGTCCCATGATGAATGGCTTACTTTGTAGAAATTTACAGCAGCCACATTACTCTAAATTCACGATTCTAAATGTGGAGGGGAAAACCAGAGGACCCGGAGAAAAATCCATGTGACCACGGGGAGAGAGGAGACATGCAAACTCCAAGTATACAGCAGGCGTCAGGATTGGGATTAAACCCATAACCTCTTTCATACCACGCAGGGGACTTAACATCTCTCCTCCGTGGCGCCTCTAAAGTAGAACCTCAAATTCTATCAGGCACATGCCTGTAGCTTGTTTCTCAGTGGGATTCCTGTCTCTCTTCTATCATAGGGGTTTCCAAAAAGGAAACCGGACCTACAGATGTAATTAATAAAAAAGTGGATAATAACCCATTATTGATGGTTGTGAACATTGTGGGTAATTCTATAATTTTGATTATGTAATTATATAAAGGAATACCTCAATTCATCTCTCTCTATAACACAATCTATTTTACAAACCAATATCATCTGGCAGCCTTTGTTTAAACAAGCAAAAAGTGCCTCAACACGCTCTTGCAAAATGATATTTGAGGGGCAATTTGTGGACCGGATGGGGGACATGTTAATTAATGAAAAAGTCACATAAAAGTCACTTCTAAATATTTACACAGTGCTCAGCAATGCTCGCCTTTTTATATTTGGGCTGTGTATATTTATTTTAATTGGAACCGGTGGCTCACGGGGGAGTATTACCGCGGGTAACGGGGTGGCTCATTGTGTCCAGGCATATCCACACTATCAATGTATATGGCAACCGCGGAGGAAGTTTGTACGATTTGAAAACAAATAACAGATTAAAAAAAAAACCCCAGCTTCATAAAGCGACGTCTGTGCGCGTATTTTTTGCGCTGCCGACTGCCGGCATGGTCCTCCTCCGGCAATATAAGTTGTACATTAACTCTCAAACCGCACGCGCGCGCGCGTATCGGCTCGCGTTGAAGGGACCCCGGGGGCTAAACCACAGCCGCGAGCTCCCCCCCCCCCCAACGCCACCCCGTTGTTGCCTGCCGGCGGGGCACGGAAGACAACCCAACAGAGTCGGTCGGTTTTAGGGGCCATCCATTTAGTACGTACGCAGGGAGGGGGGAGCGGGGGGGGGGTTAACTCAAATGCGTGCGCTTGCATATGGGGGGGAGTCTACTGACAATGTACGTACGCATAGGAAACGGGGGGAGGGGGGGGTGAAGCCTCGATAATAATGTGTCTACATTGGCCTTCAAATTAGTTTGATAGTCCGGCGGTGTGGATTATCCGTTTGCTTAAAAACGTTAATTGTATTAATCCTTGATCGTTTCTGCGTGGATTAAATATCAGCCGCTCTATAGGATTCGGGGGTGGGGGGGGGGGTGTAAAGAGTACGCGTGCGATGACATATTGTAAAGCAGATGCAACAGCATGCATGTTTTTTTTTATTCTTGCTTTATAAGTACCTGCCCAGAGGCGTCAAAGTATAGATCCATACTCTTTGGTTCTTTCGGTAAAGTCACGTAGTTAGAAACGAAAGCTTCAAATCAAGATTAAAGTATAGATCCTAAAGCCAGAGCGAGCAAAGGTTACATTGATGCACTCTTTGTCAATTAATATCTAATCTACTAGGTCAGGAAACATGCGTAGAAAGGTAAGAATGAAGAATTACTGTTTTCCAACTTGTATATAAGTTGTATGTAATGGGCTGATGCCATCACTACAGCCACTGGAGGTGAAATACATCTCTACAATTCATCGATTCATTAGTGTAGTGAATTGTTCCACCCTGAAAACGCTGTTTTATAGCAATGAACAATTACTGCTTATACCCTGGGTTAGGAAAAATGCGTATCATACAATTTGCATTTATAAAACATTTTATCATGACTGCATCTCCCAATTCGGTTCAGAGTGAAGTGACAAAAGCAAGATGGGATGCTTATCAGGCAAAGCCTGAGACAAAATTTGGTTCTGAAGTGCAGTAAGTTTATTGGTCTCAGTCCCATCTCCCCTGGCTGCATTAAATCTCACATGGTCAGTATGCACAGATCGCCCCCTTGTCCTCCGCTAGGAGTAGGTAGCCAATCACAATATAAACCCTGCCTAATTTACATCATACAAAGGTGTATTGTTCTGGATACTATTGCAGCTGCTCGGGCGACAAACTCTTCAACAAGCTTGCTTAAGAAGAGCAGATTAGGCGGTGAGGCAAAGTAACTCTTCGTATCATTGCCAAGATATTTCAAGGTTACGGATGCTCTCTTCCCGACGGGATGCACTGGTCATGGTATACAACACTGTGACCGGTCTCTCCTGACTGTTTCACAATTCCGGACGGGCATGGTTCTAATTTGCGAGGTGATGCTTGCAAGCCGCTCAACAGTAATTTGGTGTCTTGTCAATTAACAAAAAAAATCCACACAAGGTGTGAATGTGCACGCAGTCGGCCAGAAACGGCAACAATAAAAAATTAATAACAGACATTTCGTCATCATTTTAGGACTCCCACAGTTTAAAAAGAAAACATAATAGCAATGGCACCATTTCTGTCTATCTGTGCCATAGGAACCAGCGGTTAGGGTCGTTCTGTATTGTCAAGTAATTTTCAGATAACACGAAAAATAAACACAAAACGCCGCTCTCGCAACACTCTTTTATGGCTGTAATTCAGCGCCGGTGGCGGCGACGGTATTTGTGCAAACCGGTGCCTGCCGGTGCGTTTGGTTACTTTGGGCTCTGTTGACATCCTGTGGAGATAACGCACACCGTGGGCTGTGAGGCTGCTGGCACACCGTAGGCTGGGAGGCTGCTGGCACACCGTGGGCTGTGAGGCTACTGGCACACTGTGGGCTGTGAGGCTGCTGGCACACTGTGGGTTGTGAGGCTGCTGGCACACTGTGGGCTGTGAGGCTGCTGGCACACCGTGGGCTGTGAGGCTGCTGGCACACTGTGGGCTGTGAGGCTGCTGGCACACCGTGGGTTGTGAGGCTGCTGGCACACCGTGGGCTGTGAGGCTGCTGGCACACCGTGGGTTGTGAGGCTGCTGGCACACTGTGGGCTGTGAGGCTGCTGGCACAATGTGGGTTGTGAGGCTGCCGGCACACCGTGGGTTGTGAGGCTGCCGGCACACCGTAGGCTGGGAGGCTGCTGGCACACTGTGGGTTGTGAGGCTGCTGGCACACCGTCGGCTGTGAGGCTACTGGCACACTGTGGGCTGTGAGGCTGCTGGCACACTGTGGGCTGTGAGGCTGCTGGCACACTGTGGGCTGTGAGGCTGCTGGCACACTGTGGGCTGTGAGGCTACTGGCACACCGTGGGCTGTGAGGCTGCTGGCACACTAGGTTGTGAGGCTGCTGGCACACCGTGGGTTGTGAGGCTGCTGGCACACTAGGTTGTGAGGCTACTGGCACACCGTGGGCTGTGAGGCTGCTGGCACACTAGGTTGTGAGGCTACTGGCACACCGTGGGTTGTGAGGCTACTGGCACACTGTCGGCTGTGAGGCTGCTGGCACACTGTGGGCTGTGAGGCTACTGGCATACTGTGGGCTGTGAGGCTACTGGCACACTGTGGGCTGTGAGGCTGCTGGCACACTAGGTTGTGAGGCTGCTGGCACACTGTGGGCTGTGAGGCTACTGGCACACCGTGGGTTGTGAGGCTACTGGCACACTGTGGGCTGTGAGGCTGCTGGCACACTGTGGGCTGTGAGGCTACTGGCACACTGTGGGCTGAGAGGCTGCTGGCACACTGTGGGCTGTGAGGCTACTGGCATACTGTGGGCTGTGAGGCTACTGGCACACTGTGGGCTGTGAGGCTACTGGCACACTGTGGGCTGTGAGGCTACTGGCACACTGTGGGCTGTGAGGCTACTGGCACACTGTGGGCTGTGAGGCTACTGGCACACTGTGGGCTGTGAGGCTACTGGCACACTGTGGGTTGTGAGGCTACTGGCACACTGTGGGCTGTGAGGCTACTGGCACACTGTGGGCTGTGAGGCTGCTGGCACACTGTGGGCTGTGAGGCTACTGGCATACTGTGGGCTGTGAGGCTACTGGCACACTGTGGGTTGTGAGGCTACTGGCATACTGTGGGCTGTGAGGCTACTGGCACACTGTGGGCTGTGAGGCTACTGGCACACTGTGGGCTGTGAGGCTGCTGGCACACTGTGGGCTGTGAGGCTACTGGCATACTGTGGGCTGTGAGGCTACTGGCACACTGTGGGCTGAGAGGCTGCTGGCACACCGTGGGCTGTGAGGCTGCCGGCACACTGTGGGTTGTGAGGCTGCTGGCACACTGTGGGCTGTGAGGCTGCCGGCACACTGTGGGTTGTGAGGCTACTGGCACACTGTGGGCTGTGAGGCTACTGGCATACTGTGGGCTGTGAGGCTGCTGGCACACTGTGGGCTGTGAGGCTACTGGCACACCGTGGGCTGTGAGGCTGGTGGCACACTGTGGGCTGTGAGGCTGCTGACACACCGTGGGCTGGGAGGCTGCCCCATGCCGCACGACTTGTGCACGGGCGTCGCACCACCACTGTAAGCGAGGGCACTGCTGCACTACTTCGTTTTTAAGGAAGGACACTTTTTTTAATACAATTTTAATTAACCCAACTTCTTATAAAATGTGGCAATACGGCAGTGCTAGTAGTGAACGATGGTCGCATTCTGATGTGCGGCTACTTTTTTGTGTAAGCGTAGATTTTTGTTCGGTCACTGATTATTGTCTCCCACCAAAAGAATGTGTGGCGTTGCCTTGCCACGAGATGCCAGGACATTAAAACAAACAATAAATGCCCCTTTCTGATGGCGCTGGAATGGCGCCACAGGGGCCGCCTGCTGTGCCCATTCCGCGGCCTGAAACCCGGTGTCCTGGAGCCAGCTTCAAGCTAGAGAGTGCTTCTGTGTTCCCTCAGCCGCAGAACCAGCCCTTCTCCCTCCCAGCCAAATGAAGGGTACCCTCGATCCCAAGCAGCACACACTTCCAGGTACATTTGAATAATATTACCAATGCCCAGCCATCTGAAATGGTTATTGCGAGCCAATTTGTCTCTGGGCTCAATGTGAAACGAGTTACGAATGACGGCGGTGCAGAGCGCACACTCACCTCCATCTTCATCGACGACAGCCTCTGCTTGGCTTCCTTCTCCAGGCTCTCTCTCTGCTTCTGCAGCTGAACATCGGCACATGGCTGTGGTTACTATGTGGCAGGTGCGGGTCTCAGTGACCTGGTCGCAGGTGAGAATTTTAGTAATGCCCCTATATGTACTAAATATAAAGCCTATAAGTCACGCTCCATAGACTTTCGATACACACCATATATAGACCCTTTCTGTTCACTTTCCATAGATCCTCTATCATATCATATATCAACCGCCATGCATAAAACCGATTGTTATAGGCTGCTGTGGGGTTATGCTACATTGTGGGCATCAGAGGACAGTGCAGCAAAATCCATTGTTGTACTGTGCTTCTATGCTCCCACCAAGTTAAACAAGTAAACTTGGTTTAAGCTCTCTGCCCTCGCCAGCACGCACTTACCGGGAGTGGTGAACTGTGGCCAAACAACCTCTAAGACTACGTACAGGCATCGGGAGGCCCTCATCCAGCAGTGACAAAAGGGCTGCACGTGGACTCTACATAAATCCACGTCGTATTGTGTCGTCGCGGCGTGGGAGTGGTGTGGGAGCGGCGCGGGCGCCAGCGCCGTGGCACCTGTGAGCTGTGGAGCGCCTGCTCCCTCTCCAGCGCTGCCCTCAGTCCATCGCGCTCCTCTTGCAGCTGCACAGGACACAGGGGATGGTAACCACACGTGCGCCACTATCAGGCGTTGGATGGTACATGGGGGGGGGGGGGGGGGGGCGGGGAGGGGGTGTCTGCACCCTGCTCACCCTCCCAGACGCACAGAGAACGACACAGCAAGGTGGGTGGGAAGTAGTGATGGGATTGGGTGGAGGCCAGAAATGTGCAGCATTCATAGGTTTGTAAGATCTTTGGAGTGTTTGGCATTCTGGGTGAACTACCATGTTTACTTGGTACGTAACAAAGCATTGGTTAATCGATTAAAATATATTCCTATGCTCATGATACATGAATCGAATTGTGGATGTGAGAAACAATGATTTACACTTTACGCAAATTTTATTGGAATCACACGCCACTGTTACTTTACACGAATGGAGTGAACAAAAACACTCAAACGAGATGGTCCAAAGAGCATAATCCTCTTTTTAAATTAATCGACTTAGAATTGTGACAAATCGGCAGGGCTATGAATATTTACCATTTCCCACCCCTGAATTATTGGGCTTGACAAAATCAATCGCAGTGTGTTATAAATTTGGTTGAACAAAGTATAATGAAGTGAAAATGTTCCACTTACTGTCAAACACTGCCTGTTCATCTTCTCTTTAATTTTAACTATCTCATTTTCTGAAAATACAAACACACACGCATATATATATACACGCACACATATACACACGCACACGTTTATACACACAAACGTGAGGAGACATGTAACAACGGCCATCACTTGTCTCTAAGTGAAGGTGACGTGATTACAGGAGTTATGCAATTTGACGCCTCGTGAAGTGTCAAAGGCTCACTGGCTGGAAGTCACAGGACAGGCCCGGGTCTAATGAGTTAATTATGGTTAACAGAGATGTACACATACACACACGAACGCACAAAGACACACACGATGACGATTGACTACGGCTACCAAGGCCGAGATTTGAACCCTTGAGATCCTGCAGCTCAGTCAAGTGACCTTTATCTGGGTCGTTACATCATGCAGGCACGCGCTGTGTAAGTGTAAACACACAGTGCATAACTTCAGCGCTCTTGACTGCCGGGCTGACGTGCATGGGCAGCACGTGAAGATGAGGGCAACGTGTTAAGGCTACCAGTCTCACCGAGCTCCGTGCTCTGCTGTTCCTTGGCCAGCAATGCACTGTGAGATGCCTCTACGCGGCTCTGCAGGGCCGACAAGGCCAACTGCAGCGCCATGTTCTCCTCAGCGAGACGCGCGGCCTCTTCGAGATCCGTGGTGTCCACCGGCTAGTAAGGGCAGGGGAGGCGGCAGAGGGCACGAGTAATGGCCGCTTGTTCCGTATGGCTTGGTCAGTTCTACGCACACTGCACTGACCCCTCCACATTAGAGAGCACGTGCCTCTGCATACCACGTGAGTCGGTCCCGCTGCCAGTCCGCTATTACTGCTCTTATGCGGTTTCCAGTTAACTTTTGTGTTCACGTAAGTACTGGTTATATGACCAAACTTGCTTAGAAAAAATGTGTGTGCATTAGCAGAGAGCGGTGGAGTGATGATTAGCGCACTGCGCGAAAAAACTTGGCGATCGGAGTGAAATTCCCAAGCATGGCTAACATAAGCAGCAAGTAATATTAGAACATGCCCTTTGGCCTTCACTAGGTCGACTCAGCCTGAAATCGAGTACCTAGTGTGTTGAGTAAACAAAAGGGCCGGGCGTTGTGCTGACCACGTCACCCCTTCGTACATCATGCAGGCCCTTTATGGGCGCTCACTAACCTCACTTGTTCCCACATTCTCCTCAAGGCTATAGGGCAGCAGTGGCTAACCGCCGTCCCCCGAGCCGCATGCGGCTCTTTGATCCACCACACGTGGCTCTATCGAAGGGGAATAACGTAGAACGTGCTACTATCACAGAAGCAAAGAATAATGATTGTCTCCCGTACTCTTTGGTTCTTTAGGTAAAGTCACGTAGGTAGAAAAATAATAGATCACGACATTTAGATCGCAACACAAGAGCCAACTGCTGACATAGGAGGCTCCTATGTAAGCAGTTGGCTCCTATAGGAGACTCCTATGTCAGCAGTTCTCCTGCTGTATCTGTTCCACCTGATGACGGTCGCTTGTGTTGCGATTGAAACGTCGTGATCTATTATTTTACTTCTACCTACGTGACTTTACCGAAAGAACCAAAGAGTATGGATTCCTGCAGTCACGAAAGCTTCAAATCAAGATTGTCTCCCGTGTTGTGGCCAAAAAACTGTCAATATATATACTCATACATTTGGCTCTTTGCAGAACTCACGTGTACTTTGTGGCTCTTGGCCTGTTACAGGTTGGCTACGCCTGCTATAGGGGGATCTTTGTCGTTGTAAATGAGCGCGTAATGACTACCGGTGTGGGCGAGGGCTGATCTCCCTCTTCCTCCCTCAGAGCCTCCAACTGCAGTGTCAGCCGCTTCGCGAGTGCCTCCTGCTCCTCCAGACGCTCCCGCAGCCGCGCCACCTGAAGCTTCGCGTCCGAGCCGGCCGGGCATCCTCCTTCGGCCTGTCGTTGCCCATGCGAGTCCTGTCAACAGCCAGAGTACCCGTAGCAGCAGCAGCGTCAGTCTTTGAGCCTTAATGAACCCAGATCACCCTTACCAATAAGATCACACTTCGTATTGTCTTAACTCGTTTTTTTTTACCTTCTGGCACATATATTTGATAAACATTGAAAAATTCACCATGCAGCGCACTCACCATGCAGCACACTTGTACATATTACAAGAGTTTTGTATCTCAATCACTAGGCCCCCAATTGTGAGACTTAATAGCGCACGATGGTGCGACAGTGGTACATATGGAACGCGGGCTGGCGCAGTATGGTGAGTGTGCTGCATGGTGAGTGTGCTGCATGGTGAGTGTGCTGCATGGTGAGAGTGTGCTGCATAGTGAGTGTGCTGCATGGTGAGTGTGCTGCATGGTGAGTGTGCTGCATGGTGAGAGTGTGCTGCATGGTGAGAGTGTGCTGCATGGAGAGTGTGCTGCATGGTGAGAGCGTGCTGCATGGTGAGAGCGTGCTGCATGGTGAGTGTGCTGCATGGTGAGTGTGCTGCATGGTGAGTGTGCTGCATGGTGAGTGTGCTGCATGGTGAGTGTGCTGCATGGTGAGCGTGCTGCATGGTGAGAGCGTGCTGCATGGTGAGAGCGTGCTGCATGGTGAGTGTGCTGCATGGTGAGAGTGTGCTGCATGGTGAGTGTGCTGCATGGTGAGTGTGCTGCATGGTGAGTGTGCTGCATGGTGAGAGTGTGCTGCATGGTGAGTGTGCTGCATGGTGAGCGTGCTTCATGGTGAGTGTGCTGCATGGTGAGAGCGTGCTGCATGGTGAGAGCGTGCTGCATGGTGAGTGTGCTGCATGGTGAGTGTGCTGCATGGTGAGTGTGCTGCATGGTGAGTGTGCTGCATGGTGAGAGTGTGCTGCATAGTGAGTGTGCTGCATGGTGAGTGTGCTGCATGGTGAGAGTGTGCTGCATGGTGAGTGTGCTGCATGGTGAGTGTGTGCTGCATGGTGAGTGTGCTGCATGGTGAGTGTGCTGCATGGTGAGTGTGCTGCATGGTGAGTGTGCTGCATGGTGAGAGTGTGCTGCATGGTGAGTGTGCTGCATGGTGAGTGTGCTGCATGGTGAGAGTGTGCTGCATGGTGAGTGTGCTGCATGGTGAGCGTGCTGCATGGTGAGTGTGCTGCTTGGTGAGTGTGTTGCATGGTGAGTGTGCTGCATGGTGAGAGTGTGCTGCATGGTGAGAGTGTGCTGCATGGTGAGAGCGTGCTGCATGGTGAGTGTGCTGCTTGGTGAGTGTGCTGCATGGTGAGTGTGCTGCATGGTGAGAGCGTGCTGCATGGTGAGTGTGCTGCTTGGTGAGTGTGCTGCATGGTGAGTGTGCTGCATGGTGAGTGTGCTGCATGGTGAGAGCGTGCTGCATAGTGAGAGTGTGCTGCATGGTGAGAGTGTGCTGCATGGTGAGAGTGTGCTGCATGGTGAGTGTGCTGCATGGTGAGTGTGTGCTGCATGGTGAGTGTGCTGCATGGTGAGTGTGCTGCATGGTGAGAGTGTGCTGCATGGTGAGAGTGTGCTGCATGGTGAGAGCGTGCTGCATGGTGAGTGTGCTGCATGGTGAGAGTGTGCTGCTTGGTGAGTGTGCTGCATGGTGAGTGTGCTGCATGGTGAGAGCGTGCTGCATGGTGAGTGTGCTGCTTGGTGAGTGTGCTGCATGGTGAGAGCGTGCTGCATAGTGAGAGTGTGCTGCAGGGTGAGTGTGCTGCATGGTGAGAGCGTGCTGCATAGTGAGAGTGTGCTGCATGGTGAGTGTGCTGCATGGTGAGTGTGCTGCATGGTGAGAGCGTGCTGCATAGTGAGAGTGTGCTGCATGGTGAGTGTGCTGCATGGTGAGAGTGTGCAGCATGGTGAGTGTGCTGCATGGTGAGTGTGCTGCATGGTGAGTGTGCTGCATGGTGAGAGTGTGCTGCATGGTGAGTGTGCTGCATGGTGAGAGTGTGCTGCATGGTGAGAGTGTGCTGCATGGTGAGTGTGCTGCATGGTGAGAGTGTGCTGCATGGTGAGTGTGCTGCATGGTGAGAGTGTGCTGCATGGTGAGTGTGCTGCATGGTGAGAGTGTGCTGCATGGTGAGTGTGTGCTGCATGGTGAGAGCGTGCTGCATGGTGAGAGTGTGCTGCATGGTGAGTGTGCTGCATGGTGAGAGTGTGCTGCATGGTGAGTGTGCTGCATGGTGAGTGTGCTGCATGGTGAGCATGCTGCATGGTGAGTGTGCTGCATGGTGAGAGTGTGCTGCATGGTGAGTGTGCTGCATGGTGAGAGTGTGCTGCATGGTGAGCGTGCTGCACACTTTCTTCACCTTGTGCGCACCATCGCGCTGCACCAGGGCATCATCCAGCTGCTGTCGGAAACTCCTCCGGGCAGTGTTCAGCCTCTGGTGCGAGACAGACAGGAAGGGAAGATGAGGTGGGGAGCTTAGGGTTAACAATTCACCCGCTCCCCACGCCACAGTGATTCCATGAATTATCACAATTAGGCGTCATGACTTGATGTACGGCTGTGACCGAATCACTCGGAATGCACTTGATCTTGTCAGATCTCAGAAGCTAAGCAAGTTTCAGCCTGGACAGTGCTTCAGCAGCAGACGGCAGTCCAGAAATATCCATTGCTGCACTGTACTTCTACGCTTACACATCCCAACTTCACCAATTCATGCATGTGATTGGATATAAGAATTGATTGCCACGATCGGGCAAGTAGTCTCCAGCGGTTGCAGGAGTCACGTCAACCAATAACATACTAAAGGTGTGAAACAATAAATTGTAGTGATCCATGTCATGATTCCATTAGGCCAGTGGTTCTCAACGTTTTATGGCTATGACTGTACCTCCTTGTTGAATTTAGTTTCAACCGAGTAAGCCCCTTGGCCTGACCCAACATGGTTCAGAGAAATAAATGCATGCATAATGAACATCAATATTTTAAGCAATTGTCCATTTTGTGAGGTATCCTAACCAGCTAGTAACTGCAAGCGAATAAAAACGAAAATCAACAGACGCTCTGCACGCGTGACGTAATGTGTTCGTGCTCGCTGGTTACTCTTGGAAACCACATCGTTTACTATTAATGAGTTTAGAAAGGTATTTTATATCGTGCTAGGTTTCCATATGGATTTACATTTTATTACAGTTATTTTATATTAGCAGATTCATACATGTGCCACACTCAACTCTACAAACAGCTACCCTCGTTACTTTGCGTCCATACTTGTTGCTCGATTTGCCACTACACCTGCTAATGAAACAGCTCATAGACACTTCTACACTCCATCATTGTATCCTTTTAAACCCTATCTTTGTCCCATTACTTCACCAGCACTCCTTCCAAACTTCATTTGCTCTTAAAAATAACACCATCTGCGAGCTACTGCTATTCGTCCAAGGTTCGCCGCTCTTCATCCTTTCACAGAAAATACTTGTGCAAACTATAAATTCGACTATTCTTATTTCTGGGTGGTATTGAGCTTCATCCTGGCCCAAATGTAAAGAACTCGTATAATTCTGTAGATTTTTCTGCCAGAAAAGGTGTTGGTGTTCTACATGTCAACATCAGAGGGCTTGTGATTAAATGAAATCAACTAAAACTAGAAGTGGCAAATCTTGACCCGGACATTTTTTTCCGTAACAGAAACATTTCTCACTCCTGCCGTCAATGACTTGCAGATTACGATTGACAACTACAACCTTTTTCGGCTTGACCGAGGATCTAAAGGAGGTGGAATTGCCATCTATGTTCGTAATACTACTGCATGTTCACCAGCTCACTCCTTGTTTAAAAAATGTTGCTTTGAAGGTTTGGCTCTCAGAATAACTCTCCCAAATAATCAACAGATATTGGTAGTGTGCTGCTATAGACCGCCTAGTGGGAAGGATGTTGAAGCTGCATCTGCACTGAGAGAGCTTTTTGGGGGCCTCCTTAAAGGTGAAATAGTTTTAGTGGGTGATCTAAATTGGAATTGGCTAAACCTGCCGGCCGTGGCCACTAATTTTACAGATGAATGTAACCTGTTTCAATTAATAAATGTCCCCACAACACCCAACCTAAAAAATCCGGGACAGTCAACTCTGCTTGACGTCCTATTGACAAATCCCCCTCACAATTTTGCACTGACTGATGTTCTGGGTAATAACCTGAGTGATCATTCCTTCATTTTTGGAGTGAGATCATCAGCCAGACCCAAAGCCCCCCCTAAAATTGTTGAGAAGCACTCTTTGAGGCACTTCAGCACTCAGGCATTTACTAATGATGTGCTTCACTCGGATATTGATAAGGTCTGTGATATCCCCAACCTGACTACGGCTTGGGAGACTTTCAGGTACACGTTTCTCCAAATTCTTAACAAACATGCTCCGTTGGTTAGATTTAAAACTAAAGGCAACCGCCCACCATGGTATGATCCTTTTGATTACAAAGCTCATGAAAACTAGGGACAAGGCTTGGGCATGTGCTCAGAAAAGTAATTTGGTAAATGACTGGCTAGAATACAGGATTTTAAGGAATAGATGTGTCAAAAAAATATGGCATGCAAAAAATGCCTACTTTTCCCCCACTCTCCTGGAATCACATGGAAATGCCAGGATTTTCTGGAAAACAATCAAATGTATCGAAAAGGCATCCAAAACAGAAAATCTGCCCGTTGAGCTAAACCGAAATGGGGAATATTTTTCAGATTCCAAAAAAAAAGTTGACAATTTTAACCTTCATTTTTCTGAAGCTGGTAATCTTTTTGATAATATATTGGGAGTCACCCCTGCTCATGCAAATTCCTACACCCCTGTCGAAACATTAAACGAATTCAGTTTCCAGCCAATCCACGAAAGTAATGTTCTGAAACGACTGTCCTACCTCAAAGGGTTCTGGAGCCATTCTCTAACACAAGGAAGTCGGCAGTAGAGTGCCTATTGTGAAAGTTATAAATGACAAAAGCCTTCATTTCATAACTTGGCGACAACATGTCAACTGATATATAATTACAAAAAATAAGAAAAATAAAAACACTCGAAAACTAAATTCCTCAGAAGCATGTCCACTTGGAGGGAAAGCAGACGCAACGACAGAAGCAGCTGAAACAGTGGAGCGCAGCAGAATAATCAGATGCAGGAGCAGCAACAGCAGCTGTCTGAGAAATGGAAGCAGACGCCACAGCAGTCAACGTGAGCTCCGTGCTACGCCAGTGCGGCGCCACCCCCTCGCCTCCTCGTGCAGCGTCTCCAAATGTCTGAGCTTCTGGTTGAGCGCCGCGTGCAGCTCTGAGGCTTTGTCGCGAATGTTCTCCTCGTACTCGGCCCGCAGGAAGCGCTTCTGCAGCTGCAGCTCCTGCTCCAGCTCACTCAGCCTCTGAGGACGCACCGGCACACAGAGGCGGTGAGCATCGAGCGAAACCATCGCTTACCCACGCAGTGGAACGCAAGCCTCTACTAAACGAAACTTTGTATTTTACCAAGGCGCACTTCGCTGTATAGCTCTTTTTCAGAAGCGACCTGGCCCCAAATGATAGCTCAACAAAGTGGCTTATCACGTGGGAATGTATCGCTGCCAAATACTCTGAACGCGTGACGTTGATTCTTAATGTGGAGGGAAATACCGGAGGACGAGGAGAAAAATCCACACGACCACGGTGAGAACATCTAAACTCCAAAAATACAGGTGTCAGAGTCGGGATTGAACCCACGACCTCCTGTATACCAGGCGAGGTAGTTAACATCTCGCCACCACGGCACCCGATTGAGCAAGCAAGAAAAATAAATCAATGGGTGGAGCCCTGCAAGTTCCAGGTTTGTTCCCTGCTACAACGTATTTTTGCTGTAGGGACAGTGTCATAGCAGAGGCCAGTATCCCCATAATACAAGAATGACTATTGAGTTGTTGAGTTTCCAAAGTGCAACTTATTATTAATGAAAAATTGCAGTCAAAACAATTCACATTTCGATGGGGATGTGTAGGTGGAATGATCAACATCTCCACTTTGGCATGAGAGGCTGGTGCTGCGAGAGTGTGAGGTAGGGGTGTGTTCGCGTAGCGGTTAGCGCACTGCACTATGCACCCGGCAAACTCGGGCTTGATAACTACCTCGCCTGGTATACAGGAGGTCACCATCAGTGACGATTATCTGAACCGGTCCTGGGCCTCCTCTAGGTCAACTCAATCTCAAAATAAGTACCTGGTGCGGTGTGTAAACATCGCCACTGGGGATACAAAGGCGGCCGGGTGTGGTGCTGGCCACCCACGCCCTTGTGTGCGGTGCTGGCCTTCATAGGTGCTCGCTAACAGCACTTTCCGCAGCAGTCTGTTCAAGCTATACGGGGGGGGGGGGGGGGTCTTTGTATTTTGGAGGGCGATGAGCCTCATACCTGACTGCAAACGCAAGTGCGGCGCCATCTCCTGAAGCGCCGCTCACACTGCACTCACTCACGGCTGCCCCTCGCCGTCTCGCGTAACACGCAGTGAGAAAGGCTCACCCCGTCAATTCAATTCCAATTCCTTCCATGAGTGTCGGTTTGTAATCACAAACATCATGGCTAAAAACAGTGCTTGTGTTGAGGCTAGGAATAGTATTTGTGTTTGATTAAGGGGGTAGGTCTGGGGCTATGTTAGGAGTCAGAGTTCGGGTTTGTTTAAGGACTATGACTTGGGTTTGGTTTTAGGACACAGATTTCATGTTAGGGCCAGAGTTAGGTTATGGCTAGGGCCACGGTTGTTGTTCGGGGTAAGGCTAGGTTTAAAGATAGAACTGAAGCATGGGCTATTGCTCATGGCAGGGTTAAGTTCAGGGTCAGGTTACGTATAAATAGTTGACGTGATGGACACCGCTTCGACTAAGATTTTGGTTGTAATTATGGTTTGGTTCAAATTCCTCATCTTTAATGGAAACATTACTGTCACGTTTTCATGACCAAGGCCGCTCAAAACTGTTGCCATCTCTCACGTTCTGCGATGTAACGATCCACCCCGCACCTGCACACGAGATTATTTCGTCGGCGGATCCTACCTCGATCATGTTCCCTCCTTTGGCTCCTTTTTTTTCTTGACCACCATCCATCATCCTATCTAGCAATGGGTTTCTGCCCAAGTCCACGAATTCTTCTGCAGAGTCAATATGATGTCTCTAAATTTACATATGTTCACTAATCCATGTTTTCCCTTATCTGTATCTCCGTGTAGGCATTCTGTGTTTAAAGTGCGTGTTATTTAACAATGTCACAAATGGACCGTGATAAGAACTTCTTCAGACGCAACAATGTCTCGTAGAAAACAAACAGGGTCCTTTCCCAGAGATGAACTACCAGGATTTTTTTTTAAATACCCAACCGCTTAGTCCAATAAAATACAAACTACATCACGTCGCTTTAAAACTGCATGAGAAAATATTTCCGCCGTTAATCATATTTGTAATAGTTCCATAAGTTAATAATAGGTTGAATATTATGAAAAATCATAATTATTATTATCAGTCCCGCACACGAGATCTCCATCTGCCAATAGTTACAAAGAGCCCTGCATCAAACGGCGGTTATTAGCGGTGACTCAGTTGTTCTGAGACTCCTCTATTTATAGGCGATGAACGGTGACACCAATCCGAGAGGCAAGGGTATCTCCACATGCTCTCCCTCACAGCTGTGTTCATGCATCACTCATTCTGAGTGCCCCACTGAGCACATTTCTTTGCACAGAGCTCAGTGGTTCGATTTAGATAAAGCACCTGGAATACACTTCATCAGACACAATCAAGTTTGCAACAAGGCCCAAGGTTAATCACTATAAGCAGATATCAGTGCTTGACTTGGCAGCATAGAGGTTGTGGTTTCTGCATAGAGTCACCCTGTAACTCAAGGTTTACCAAACGCCACTCCTCAGGGCCCACCATGGTCCACTTTTTCACGTTTTTGACCAATCTTGTCCGTTAAAATACAAATGATTCCTTTCGAAATAGCACGGGCCCGATGACCGATGAACATGCGCCATTCGGCATCGAGAGTATCCGCAGAGGCAGACACCGAAGACCTGCGCGCCTCACCATCGTGAGCGTGCGAACAGTGGCCCTGAGCTCCTGCAGAGCGCAGATGTCGCTCGCCTCCGTCTGCGTTGCCTTGTTCTCTCCAAACAGGTTGAGCTCTAGGAACTCTGCCAGGCAAGGTCTGAGCGGTGGGAGAGAGGGAGGGAGAGACGGGTGGAGAGCAGAGACATCCAGGCACGGAGCAGAAGGGCTTGCAGTGACTTTCCACCACGCTGGGAGGTGTGATATAATGTAATTGGGTGAAGTTCTGTTGATGAAAAAAAAAGTCCCCCTGTTAATTTCCAATGGTGGATCTCACCCAATGGGAAAAAACTATCAACACTCATTTGTTAAGGCCAAATCTGTCCATAGGAAAACCACTGATGACTTTCGTTCAGCTTATAAAATGTGGCCCTCATTATCCTCCACTGGAGCAATTTTCCATGCTACGGTTGCGTAAATTTCCACGCAATCGCCAAGACGCAATGGGAAAATACCATGAAGTAGTTATTCTTTAGTGACTGACTGGATTGTTAAGTTAGGACAACTGTGTTCAAGTCACAGTAATCAGCGAGTTGTTGCACAATTTGTATCTGCCTTGTGGCTCTTACACTACTAGGTGCTGTGAAGGCCATCAGCTTATCAGTCTCTGTGAATCGATGATGCAGCCCTTCAAATACTGTACTGTACTCTACATTTCCCAGTGGTCAAGCTCTGGAAGACCCGTACAAGTAACGACGTGCATTTTGCTCACGAAAAAATATAATAAGACATTAAATGGCTTGAATAAGCTCAAGCAAGAGCCTGTAACACAGTAACAAAGACATCATACTCTTGGCCCCAGGGTTGTTTCCTAGGCTAAACTGCTAATGGCTTTCATGACAACTCAACCTGTTTGGAGAGAACTGCTTTTTGTTTTTAGTGTTGGTGCGAAAGAAGTTCAACGTAAATACATACGTAAAACAACGCACTACTTTTTATTTTATCCGATTAAAAAGTCCAGAAATACTTTATGATAAAATAGTCCATTAAGTCAAATTGAAAGACAAACCTTCATAGTAATTACACACATGGCTGTTTGCAAAATCCCGTGTGCGATATGCCATGTGTGAAATTAACATATGCCAGGCACTATCAGTAACATGCTAATCAGTAATCATTCAGCTAATATTAAACCAAGCTACAGTCAGGACTTGTAATGCCATGCATATAAATTGCTGAACTGTTAAGTTAATTCCACAGAATGAAAAGCCCTGGTAGAATTATTTGAATAAAAATGTTTAATAACACTCCTTTTTTTACTAAATTTATGTTTCTCCATTCTCCCATGGAGAAGCAAAATGCTCCTTCATGGAATAAATAAAAGGTGACCTTAGTAAATTTTAAATAATCAAATAGTTAATAATGAAAATGTATCAAAATTAGTGTTATATTCTTGGTTCTTTCGGAAAAGTCCCGTAGAAGGGAAACAAAAAAATAATAAAAATATAAAACAATAAAATTATCACGACGTTTCGACTACAACACAAGCAATCATAATCAGGTGTGAAAACCACAGCAAGAAAATCCCTGCAGTCACGAAAGCTTTAAATCAAAATGTAAAATTAGTGTTGATTTTTTATTTAAAGCTTTCGTGACAGCAGGGATTCATATTCTTGGTTCTTTCGGTAAAGTCACGTAGAAGGGAAACAATAAAATAATACAAATATAATACAATAAAATTCTCATGACGTTTCGACTGCAACACAAGCAATCATCATCAGGTGTGAAAACCACAGCAAGAAATTTTGAAAAAAAAGTGGCGTTTTTTTTACGTTAGCACCACGGAGAGCGATTTGACAGTTTGTTCAGATGGACGAGTCCATCTATGTTCGGAAAAGAGGAGGGGGGAGACGAAAAATAATGGCCAGATGACAACAGTGTCATCCACGTACCTCTTCCATAAGGTTGGGCGCAGAGTGGCAGTCTGGATGGCGTCAGTCTCAAATTTCTCCATGAAAATGTTAGCTATAAACCGGAGATAGGGGGGAGCCCATTGGGGTGCCCTCAGTTTGTTTGTAGAAAGTTCCATTCCAAGTGAAGCATGTATTGGTTAAGCAGTGTCTCACCGGGGGGGGGGGGGTACCTCAGTGTTTAGTCCTTGATGAACCAAGTCTTCAATGATTGCGATAGTGTCAGGTACAGGAACAATGGTGAATAAGGAAACTACATCAAAACTTTTGATTTAAAGCTTTCGTGACTGCAGGGATTCATATTCTTGGTTCTTTCAGTAAAGTCACGTAGAAGGGAAACAATAAAATAATAAAAATATAAAACAATAAAATTATCACGACGTTTCGACTGCAACACAAGCAATCATCATCAGGTGTGAAAACCACAACAAGAACATTTGAAAAAAGTGGCCACTTTTGCAGTCGAAACGTCGTGAGAACTTTATTGTTTTATATTTTTATTATATTATTGTTTCCCTTCTACGTGACTTTACCGAAAGAACCAAGAATATACATCAAAACTGACAAGCAGGTCGTCTGGGGACAGGGAAATACCCTTGATTGTCGATACCAGGTGAATAGAATTTTGTACCGCAGAGGTGGTGTTTCCAGTGAAAGGCCGCAGGATTTCAAATAGAAAATATGCCAGTTTGCAGGTGGGGGAGTTGATAGTAGAGACGATGGGACGAAGGGGTGTATCTACTTTATGTATTTTTGGTAAGCCGTATAATCTTGGTGGCCTGGCAGCAGAAGGTTTCAACGAAAACTGTTTGGTTTGATAAATTAATGCGGTTGAATCAGAAATGATTTTGTTGGTTTGTATGACGAGGCTGTTGGTGGGATCTCTTTTTATTCCTGTATAGCTGCTATCGTTGAGTAATTCTTGAATTTTGTTGTTATATTCTATTTTATCCATGATGGCAGTGGCATTGCCCTTGTCGGCTGAGAGGATGACAATATCATCCCTCTTTTTTAATTTATATAATTCAAAACGCTCATCTTTGCTGAAGTTGCTAGCTGGCATCTTAGCGTTTTTGAGGGTTGCAGCAATTTCATATCTTGCTACGTCTGCAGTGATGTGACCCAGGCCCTTGAGAGCCACGTGGTTTTCACGCCTGATGATGATTGCTTGTGTTGCAGTCGAAACGTCGTGAGAATTGTATTGTTGTATATTTTTTATTATTTTATTGTTTCCCTTCTACGTGGTGACTTTACCGAAAGAACCAAGAATATAATAGAATGTGTTGTTTATATTTAAAGTTGAGCATTTTGATGTGACGTCACATTTCTCAAACCCTCCCCCCTCCCCCCTCGTCACAAATGTCTGACGCCCCCCCCCCCATGTGCGTGACGTCATTTAAGGACGGCCCCTATGGGGTTCAAACCAATCAGAATCGAAACCAGTCCAGGGTTTGTGTTGCACCAATGGTGTTTAACTATGCACTCCCAGAAGCCGCGTGGCTGGAGGGATGTGTAAAGTAAATATAATAATCCACAGTATTTATGCACCCACAGATAGAAGGCGTCTTGTTCCACGTATGTTTACATTTTTTTTATTTTATTATTTCCCTTCTACGTGACTTTACCGAAAGAATAAGCATACGTTGCATCATTGTCAAGGTTGCAGCGTGACGACAAAAATCTCTGCGATGACGTTAGTCTCAATCTCGTTCCGCGTGTATATGACGTCATCACTCAACATTACGTAATGTTCACTGCGCATGCGCACGATAGCGGCAGACACCTCTTTAAGATGGCGGCAGAAGCCTACGACGAATAGGCCTTTCGCCGTGAACAGACGTGAGCTGCGGTGAGGGCTGGGGGTGGTTTGTTGCGCGCTGGTGGCGCCCTGATCGCCATACCTGGCTGTCCCGGTCGTGTGCCAGAGGCCGTGCAGAGCGAGCGCCGCGTCCTGGCGACCCTCGCACACGGCGCTCGCACACTGGCCCAGGGCCGAAGCCCCGCGTCGCCTCGTCGCCATGGCAACTCGGTCACGTGCTGAGCCCGGGGGGAGGAGGAGTGGGGGGATCACGTGGGTACGCTCGGGGAGTCATGGGGGGCGGGGGCTACACGTGGGGACATCTGCAGACAAACTTTGTGGGGTCCTCAAGCAGCTGGTCGGGGTTGCAATGTTGGGGTGGTGGCCGGGTTTAATTAAATGCCTTAAGTTGATCAAATAACGAAGCAGACAATTCGCCTCCCCATATCTGTCCCTTCCACAGACAATATAAACGTATATTTTGCACATCCCATCAGCCACGCGGGTCTTCTGGGCGTGTGTAATTTCAACACTGGGGTATAATACGCGAAAAACTCTGGACCGGTGCCTACAATAGTTTTAAAAGTAATGCTGGCGAACTGCCAAACGTGTATAGGAAATGCCCCTCTCTCTTAGATTATTAAGAATGTTTCTTTTTAGCGCCATGAATGCCAAACTAATTGGACAATTCCACATAGGTTCACTTAACTTTTATTTCACCGTAGTGGTATTGCAAGCGAGACCTGGAAAAATACTAGTAGCATATGTCCCATCAGAAATTAAATAAAAACTACTTCGTTCTATTACCCCATGGGTCTTTCGGACGAATGTCCAGCAACATTAGTTTAAGTAGGAAAATTCTGGACTGGTTTCGATTTAATCACGGAACAATCCCTGTTTAATAAATCTTACAATACTAAGTTTTGCGTGATGTTATAAAGGTATGAAACCTATCTGCTTCATACCAAATGGATGTCTAATAAAATCAATGTGACACCGGAAATAAATAACCAAAGCAACACTACACGTTGGTTCCACGGTGGATTAGGAACCTTATCGGAACTCGACAACTGGAAAGAAGGCTGATAAAATACTACATAGCTATGTGAACAGGCATGATATAAGCTATACAGGAGCATAGTGTGTACAGAAAGTATCACAGGAATAGCATCGCTCGTGGCCTCCCTGCATGTGGTTACTGTTGGTGGAAACCCCAATCAGAAGTTTTGAGAATTCAAATCCCGGTCGTGTGTCGACTACGCCTATATCTTCTTGCCAGGGTCAGTATAAACAAGAAACTGTTTATGTGAAGTCAAGTCCACGGTGGATGCCTAATGGAAATACTGACCGGCAATGGAAATACGGAATTTCCAACACTGGCTTAGTACTGCCAACAGCGACGAGTGCTGTTCTATTTGCGCCACGGTGGCTATGAGATGTTAACTAGCTCGCCTGGTATACAAGGAGGTCGTGGGTTCGATACCGACCCTGACGCCTGCTGTGTATGTGGAGTTTGCGTGCGTCTCTCTCTATCTCCCTCTGGGGTCGCGTGGATTTTTCTTCGGGTCCTCCGGTTTTTCCCATCCACATTTAGAATCAACATCACGCGTTTAGAGTATTTGCCTGCTATAAATTTCCACATGATGATAAGCCACTTCGTTGAGCTATCATGTGTGATAGCCAGGTCGCTTCTGCAAAATAAAAATGGTAAATAGTTGAGAGTTACATGGAGAGTCGGGAAAATGGGAACACGGAAGGTAGAGAGTATATCTCTCTATATATAAAAGGGAAATGTGTGATTGCGTGTCTGTTCAAAATGTTTAGCGTACTTCCCGACATGCAACAAACTTGAAATTTGCCATGTGGGTACATGTGACCCGCGTGTGCGGAAGCGTAACGCAGTGTGCCTGCTGATCGCGGGTAAAGTGCCATACAAATGTGTTGCAGGTCTAAGGCGTTCTTCGCGCAGCATTGCTTTATTATTTGAGTCGTTTACTGCCGTACGCGCCCTGAAAGTTGTGTGTGTCTGCAGCAAGCGCGTGTTATGTGTACCTATGGTTAGCGCTACGCTGCGCTACGAACCCGGCGACCGGAGTTCGATTCCCGCTCACGGCCACACCACCGGTGACGATTATTTGAACACGGTCCTGGGCCTCCCCTAGGTCGACTCAGCCTCAAACGAGTAACTGGTGTGGCGTGCGTGAACATCGCCACTGGGGAGACAAAGGTGACCGGGCGTGGCGAATCCAAGTCCCGGGTGAAGCCGGGTAGTAAAGCTAGTACAGTATAAGTACACATGGGTTCAAGGTTTAAAGGACAACTCCAGGACAACTTTAAGTTAAAGGTTATTGCGCAAACCGGTCACTGACGCATGTGCATAGAGACAATGCTGGAGAGACAACGACGAATTGTTTTCTATTTGCTTGATTTGACAAGGGAAACGTTTTGATCTTTCGCTTTTTTACTTTCTCTTTTTTTTGACCGTGCAATATAAAAAAAACACAACACGACACTTCGATGCTCTCACAGATATCGTGGTAAGCTCGCTCCTTCAGACGAGGAAAAGGGCAAAAGCATCAGTATCCACGTAACAAGTCTTTAAGGCATTCTCTCAACATCGAGGGCTATGTTTGACTGTTGATGTTTCTCAGATATCATCCATCCGCAGGGATGAAGACGCTCGCCATAGCAGCAACAACAAACACACCAATTGCTCTGCGTTGCGGATAAGCTATCGCGTAAAATAAAAAAAACACGGTTACTGTCTCAACGTCACGTCCTTAAAAATACACAATCCTTTAAATACACACACACACAAAACATTGCATATCCCGAAGCAAAGCACCGAGAAACAATGTGAAGACAAACTCTCAGTAAGCCATATTTAACGAGGCCAGTCCACATTCACAAAACAGATCCTCCGTTTGTACCGCTCCCATTCGCCGATTTTCATTTCTGGCCGCGTCTACCTAGAGGAAGACCAAGCACGACTAATCCACTTTGATGTTGGACATGGCCAGGAATCGAAACCGGCTCACTGGGATAATTGTGCTAAAAAAAAAATACGCATCAAGAAGTGTATGTAACGACGAATTCGTACAAAGACGCACAAACATGGCAAGTTGAAGACCGACACGCGTGCTCCCCTTTAGTGGCGTGGCAGCGCGCACACACACAGAGCAAGAGAGAGACTGGCGCTGTTGTCTCGTGAACGCGGTGACTTTAAAGTCCGGATAAAAGTTCAGCGATGAGCAACGTAAATGGCATTGTAAAGTCCCGTCAGAGCAGCGGAGCGCAGTGGTCACCGTGCTGAATACTGCCTCGCCATCGTTGGGCACGTTGCCCGTCCAGAGGAGGGGACGGAATTGGCAGCCACGGTGGGGAGACATGCTCGCTCCGCCGCTGGACCATTCTTCTACAATTCGTAGAAGTGGCCTTCTTCAGGTGAAAGGAACAAACCTGTCCGGACGACAGGGCTACAGGTTTGTTCCTTTCACCTGAAGAAGGCCACTTGTGATGCGGCCGAAACGTCGTGAGAATTTTATTGTTTTATTTTATTCTCATTCTACGCGACTTTACCGAAAGAACCAAAGAAGGTGGAGGCACAATGTTGTTTTTACGTTCGGGGTGGTTTGAGCCGGCTAAACAGCAATATATTGGGGGTACACATCTCCATTACAGCCTTATATTTGGGGGGACATATTGAATATTGGGGGGGGGACACACACATCCCCCCCCCCCAAATATATTGCTATAAAATAGATTTCTGTTTATATGATTGTGGTTATGGTTGTACTTTATTAATCCCTAATCTCTGCCGTTACATACAATGAAACAAGAAAAGTTAAAACAAAAATAAAGCAATGTAATACAATACACTATTAGACATTGTAAAAACATAAAAAGTCCATCCTACGTGTTAGTGAATTTTTGTTAATATTTTAGGCAGGAAATTAGTTTTCAAATTTATATATTTATATTTGAGCAAGCGTTGACTCGATGGCTAAGGCCTTGTCGGAGTGTACCGGCTGCGACGTCTCATTCGTGTTTGTGCGGATTGCACGGTCTCTTGTTCTGGACGACCACAGTCGCACACTGCCCCCGTGGGTTTCATGGAGAATTTTCTTCCTTCACCGTCCCACCACAACCCCACACACAACACATTCCCATTCATCGCCATGGCTCGGCCAGCAGGGGGAAAGAACGTCAACAAAGTAAAAAAAAACGACGCCACTGCGGAACAGCGCGGGCACCCGGTTAAGGTGTGGTTCGAGTAGGCAGGCAGGCAGAGGGGGGAGTAACATCCCACGTTCTAGAAGGCTCTCCCCACCTCGTTCTATGTTGTATATATGCAGAGAGTTAAAAGTCGCCCCCACACACACAGAGACGGGAGGACGAGGTGCCGCTTGGCCATTCTGAAATGTCGGCCGTGCTTCCCCGTCGTGTTTTGAAGTAGCTGATCGCACGATAATTAGTTTCGTTGTGTCTTTTAAACGGCACGGCACTGTTTGTATTACGTTATTGTGCCAATAATACTCGTGAAGTAAGCGCTTACTGGAGGTAGGTAGGGAGGGAGGAGGAGTGGGGTTAAACGTAAACAGACCTGAGACAAGTTTAGAAGGGTTCCGCGGCATCACGTCAGTGGCCCTCTCTCTATATTTTTAACCCGAGCACGTAAGGCGAATATATTTAAACACTTGCTGCTGTCGTGACGCGAGCCGCTTATTATAATCCCACCGTGTACAGAGAGAGAGGAGAGAGCTAGCAAAGCAGGGAGGAGGAGGAGGGAGCAGGGGCGGGAAGTTTTTTTTCGGGGTAAATAAAAGAGACGAGGACCACACCGTCCACACGGCCACCGCCTGAGAACGGACAAGGGAGTTGTTGTTGTTAAACAACAACAAGGTGGGTGAACGCGGATGAAGAGTTCGTAACTCGCGTTGACCGACACTGTGTTTCGGCGGCGAAAGCGTCATTCCTGGTTAGCCAAGGGCTCGGCGGGGTTTTGTTGTCGACAGGTCGGGGATCAGCGCTCCCCGAGTCTTTATTTTTATTTGTTTGCCGAAAAGTCGTCGCCGCCGCAGGCGCCTTGTCGACGTTTCGGGTCCCCCCGAACCCGTGCGCCACTCCGCAACACAGGCGGTGAAACCGAACACGAGTCGTGGGGTTTGTTTAACACCCCCTTCGCCGAGGAAGCGATGCCGGCCCTGTCCACCTACTGCCACGACTCTGCGGCCCCGGAGAGGGCCTCGCTTGTCATCATGCCCGGGAGGGCCGCGTTCTCCACGCAGCCCGGGGCCCCGGTCCGCGAGAGGGTCGTGCCCGTCATGGTGATGCCACGAGCGGGCAGCGTGCGCCCCAGGCCGGCCAGCCCCGCGCGGGACACCATCTCGTTCCTGACCGGCATGAGGTTCGAGCTCAGCCCCAAGTCGCGAATCCATCCGGAGGTGACCACCCCCACGTGCGTCGGTTACTGCCCAGACGACGACGACGATTGTTGGATAAGAACAAGGGCAGAGGAGGAGGATGAGCAGCAGCAGGGGCAGAGCTGCTGCGCCTGCAAGGAGAAGCCCTGGGGTCGCCTGTACCTCAAGCCCGCGACTGCACACAACGCGCGCTCTGCTGGAGATGTGGGACAACAACGCGGGGACGAGCAGCGGGCGACGACGAGACGGTCGCCCATCCTCACGAGCGTCCGCACAACGCCGGTGGAGGCGATCCCCGCGAGCGACAGGCTCCGGAGTCAGCTGTCGGTGCCGTGCGTCCTCCGCCAGTCGTGCCTGGAGGAGGTCGAGCCCCAGGCCACGGGGCTACCCGCTGGCACCGCGGCCGCAAGAGCCATCTCGCCGAGCAGGGCCACCGCGCTCCGGCACCCGGGGGTTCCTCACGGCCGCACAGACGGCGAACCTCGTGGCAAGCCTGATGCAGCCTCAGCGACCACACACCACGAAGCTCCAGACACCACCACAACCACCAAAAGCAGCAACAGCATCAGCAAGCAGGATGACCACCGCTCAGAAATGGAGAAGCAGGACGAGTACCTGCGCTCCAGCAACCGCTACCGCTTTCACATCATCCCGGACGGCAACTGCCTGTACCGGGCTGTGTCGAAGGCGGTGTACGGCAGCCAGGACATGCACGCCGAGCTGCGCGAGCAGACGATCCACCACATCGTGGACCACCTGGACGAGTTCGGCGCCCTCATCGAGGGAGACGTGGGCGAGTTCATCGTGGCGGCGGCGCAGAACGGCGCGTGGGCCGGCTACCCGGAGCTCACGGCCATGAGCCAGATGCTGGGCGTGGGAGTGCGGCTCACCACAGGCGGCAGTGCCAATTGCCCCACCGTGTCCACCATGCTGCACAGATTCGGCAAGGGCAACGACGAGGATGGCCCCACCATCTGGCTCAGCTGGCTCAGCAACGGTCACTACGACGCCGTGTTCGACTCGCCGCTGCCCAACGACGAGTACGAGCGCTGGTACGAGCGCTACGTGGCGCAGCAGCGCGACGACGAGGAGATGGCCAAAGCCATGGCACTGTCCCTGTCCAGGCTCTTCGAGGAGCAGAACATCAGGACCCGTTAGCACGGCTACTCTCCTCTGCGGATTGGTGGGTTGGTGGCTCGCGACCAAAGTTTGAGGATGTTATGAAGTTCCCACTTGGAATGATTTGTATAGGGTGAAATGATTGGAACGTGAAGGAAACGTATTAATGTACAAGTCAACTTATGAATGGCAGTGCACCCAGCCAGGTGGCTGGGCTCCGGGCGGACCAGTTCTCCTGGGAAGCTGCATGCACTGATTTGGTTTTGGTAGAAGAGAGAGTTCTGGCTCATGAATCCATCTGCCTCACACGTCACCCGAGACTATGAAACCAGAGATTGGAGTGTGTTGCCACCTCGGTCTGGAGCCGAGTCATGGAGAGGCAGGCACATCGTTGCCTGCGTGGCAAGTGGACATTGTTGGTTTGTGCAAAGGAAATGGCTGGGCCACATGTTTTCAGTGTGCTTTTGGTGTAGAAGGGTGAAGGTTTTTGTTTGTGCATGTGTAGTTTTCGGACCAACTGTTTCAAACACGCACAGTCAAGCATTTGCAAGTATTTTCTAAGTAGCATTTTAAAAGCAGTTGTTAAACAGATGTCTAATTTCGTCCTTTATTTACACGAAAACAAATTCTGGTTGTGGATTGTCTGCAGATGTGAAATGTTAACCGGTCACTTTCATGATATTGGTCGGAGTCGGGAACATTTCCAAAATGTAAATGCTGGACAATGTAAGTTACATTACTTTGCTGGGTTAAAGGTTAAGCTTTTATAGAGTACAAAGTTAACTAGATTTACACTGGAAGGCCCTCAGTTTGAGGGTGACAATAGTTAAGATTACAAGTTTTAATAGAGTTCTCAATTTAATATTTGGCATTGTGACACGATTTGTCCATTGTAAAATATTGTGAAAGGTGCCGAATAAGCGCAAATTATTACATGTCGCGATTGAATTCCAGTATAGGAATGTTTCACATTGCTGTTTTGTCAACACTGGAAAAATAAACATTTAACTTTGCATAAAAAATGGCTTCGTGTTTTCATGCATGTTGTAACGTCAAGGATATCAAGGGTGGGAAAATGCATATTACAAACCTTTCTGCCAATGTGTTGCATACATTGACTTAGTGAGGGGACCACAGAGCCGCACTGGAAAACAAAGCTGACTTCCTAATGCCATGTTAATGCTCTTAATGTAATTATATTGGCCTAGGGCACAATACAACTCAAAAGGGCTGCTGACCAATAACAGCCAAGAAACAAAAACACCCGAAAGGATTTCTAACTGTAGAGATGCAGTGTTGAAGTCAAATTGTTAAGAATTGGATTGTGGAAAAGGGCATTGTCACACCTCCGATTAACATGGTTGGCTACGAACGGTGCGAAAGAAGTTCAAAATACGAGCAATGGCTGATGAAGCAGGAGTTAATCATTGTCACCTTGCCTCTTGCTGTGTTATTAGTTACGGCCCTTTCAAATAAAAGCCGTTTTAAAATATTTTCCATCGGAGAGATTTTACCATATTTTACTGTGGTTATCGTGGGAGGGGGCAAGAGCAGGAGATTGTGTTCACCCATCATCGATGTCAGCCATAGCTGGGAAACAAACTAGGGCAACCGGTTTCATAGTTCAAAAAACTAACCACTTCGCCACCACTCCACCCACCACCCGATTAAAATTTAAGCTGAAGTCACTGGCTTTTCAATTGCTCATGGAAAATTCTGGCAGGATCTGGATTTTTAGAATACAGTACTTTGTCATCATTCACAGACATGGTCGTTCTTTTTCCCAAATTATTCGTGTTTACTGAAAGTGGTACTCATTGGCAACAATTAACCTGCAATTATTTTCAAGTGTCCAGACTACTGTTTGTTACTTTAAAACCAGCATATTACACAATAGTACATTCAAATAAAAACACTGCATCAACCTGTCAATATAGTTGTCATAGCTATCTACGGGTCAATATAATTGAGGTCACGTCTTCTTTAACGATGTTTATCTGCTTTGTTATTCCTGACATTGAGCACAGGTCTCATGTGCAAAGTATGCTTGATATATTACCAGGCTCTCAGCTGATTAAACAAAGAGCAACTGCTCTTTGAAGGATGTGTTGGCTTAAATCAGACACAGTATGTTGCCAGAGCGGTCTGGACTGCAGCACTTGATGCATGGAAGGCATATTGCAGTGTTCTTTACTAATTTTCAGAGGGGAGCTACTTTCACCGATAAGACATCAGTGCGAGGGCTGCCACACCACCTGGAAGGGGTGTTTTCACATGTGTGTATTGTCAGGGTCCGCACGTCAGGGGCCACACTAAAGGCCACCAGGGTGGCCAATGTGTTTGCGCACAATCGCAGGCATTCCACAGAGTCATACTGAAGCAGGCAACACCAATCTAGGCTTTCCCAAACAATGTACTTTATTTACAAACCATAATTCTTGCCATTTAGCTGGCCAATGATGGTCTCGAAGGCCATGGTGAGCACAAATCAGTGTCAATTCTGTCTGCCACAAATCACAGAAGCCAAAGGCATTGCTTCGAGAGACTATGGTCTCATTGAGGAGCTGTGCATTTGTGATCAGCACATCCCACTTATGTCTGAGGGTTTTCCTTTCCAATAAGATGCAAACGAGTTGTAGGTCATCTGCCCATTGCAGAAATCTGTCGCTCATTTGTACCACTGCAGAGCAGGGGCTTTCTGCTCAACCGTGGTCTCATCCAGCTCTGTCCATGGGTGCAGTTTTGGTCCAGGAATCATTATTGTCTGCAAAAGAGATTGTGAAAATTAGCATCATGGGTATGCCAAAATAACAGCTGCGATGCAAAAGTACATGCCATTTACAAGTTTTATTAAGCTATGATGCTGATGTGTGAATTGACTCCCAGTTGTCTAAAGGACCCAATATGTAATCTTGGCAATGACTGACAGAAGCATACTTAATTCCAATAAATAATACAAATTCTATATGTTGTGGATTGCACTGTTCAGCTGCAGATTTTTTGCATGTAAAATGTGTAGCTGTGCTGTGAGCACCTTAATGATGGGGTCCTTCTCCTTCGTCCACTGTGGCACGATCTTGCCATGGAGCCTCCAGCTGCCATAAGGGTTGGGCATGTGCCTCTCGAACACCACATACTCTAGCACGTCCTTGGGCACCTCCTCACTGCCATACATGAGCCGTCCGAAGCGGTCATACAGGGCCATCGTCTGCAGGCCCATGCAGATGAGGCGTCATTCAGGCCATTGTTCGGGCAAAACAAGAGACATAATGGCATGGTGGCAAAGATGGCAAATATGAATGACAGCACAATGCGTGGTGCTACAGTGGGAGCCAAGGAAGCGATGCTGAATCCTACAGAGCAAAAAACTCTCCCTTTGTATAATGATGAGATAATTACTGCCCGTGTGCAATCAATTAATACAACACGGCACACGGGGGATTGTGTGGCCAGCATCACATGCCGAGTCGCCTTCTCTGCTCAGTGCTGACATTAATCAATATTGAACTATATGCAAAAACGTAATACAAATTGCCTAGCAACCGCACAGTGGGGGGGGGGGGGGGGGGCACGTGGAGAGTTTGGGGGTGAAAAGCTGACCTGCTTGGACAGCAGGCGCACGGTGACCTGCCCATACAGGTTGCCGGGGTCGATAGTCTTGGGGCACCGCACGTGCACTACGCGTGGGGGTTCCAGGGACTCCAGAAAGTGCCAGCGCAGCGTCTTCAGCCGGTTCCCTCGCACCATTTCCTGATCGGGCAAGTGGAAGGAAAAACAAGGATACAAAATTAAGTACATTAATATATGTTGATAAAACATTGATTAAGGGGGCTTGTGCTTAATGTGACTTTTGATATAACACATTCAAAAGTTAAAGTATCCCTCACGTTTAATCGACTTCCAATTTGGAAGACCTATTTAACTGGTAGGAAATCTATTTTCCCTATGGCAGGGACCAATTTCCACATAGCACAGCCAAATTCCCACAGAGTGAAACGACCTTTACAAGGATGTGCTTACTTTACTCAGCTCAGAGGGATGATGGGCTAAATTGACCCTGTCCAGGATTTAAATTTGTGATTAAAAATGGGATATTGCTGCTCTATCAAGCTCATATTACTGGCTATTAGCAAACACATCTGTTATCATTCATGCATATGAGTCTATCATATAATAACAGTATTTACAATGGTGCATTTGCATATTTCACAGTTTATATAGTTGCAAACTGCAGACCATATCTTAATACAAAATTTTATATAAAACGATTGCAGTGCAACTGGTACAAGAATCAGCCCAAGCTGTGTGTCGAACAAACAGCAACATGTTATGGGTGCTGTGCACAGTGCTTTTCTCACCGGGAAGCATCGCTCTGTCACCAGCTGGTGCAGTCTCACTTTGTTGAAACTGCAAAGCATCGATCGGGCATGACAAGTCACGTTATGACACAAACCAAGGATAGAGCCGCGAACGCTTGAGCTGGGCTTCGGTGCGAGGTGCTGCGACTTACTTCACCAGGCAATCATGTGCTTCCACGTAAATGTCTTGGGCCTTGGTGGCAAACGTTTTAGTGCTAAATCCATCATCGTATTCCTTTAGCTTCCGAATCCTGCATATGAGACAGAAACGTATCCAAGTAGTCCATATATTGGGGCGGTGGCATAGGCATAAGAACATGTTAATTTGGACTATTTGTTTTTATACGTAGCTTATTCGGAACAATTAATGGATGTTAATGAGATGGTGAGAAATAGAGACATACAAGGAAATACATTGTTTTATTATACTCTAAGCTCCCAAGCATATGTCCTCTGCCATCACCAACCCGCACTAAATAGTGTAAAGTCCAGTTTTAAAAAAAACATGATCTGCATGATTATATAGGCCCTCATCCAGCTGTGGATTAACAAAGGGCTGCATACATGTAAACATACACATTAATGAGACTTTTAATTATTAGGCCGATGTGGGAAGTGAAACATCGATCCGTACAAACTAGCGAAGTAACACGTGTACGCGTCCCTTCATGCATCCCCAACCACAACATGGTGGATACATTATCAGACTTTATATCAGCTAAACATTCTGTAAAGAAATACACAACCGTGTGCATCCTCTCTGGAGAATTGTGCACTGGCCAATCTAATGTATCATCCCGATGAACTTACGCAAGCTGTGAAGCTGCAGTCTGCTTTATCTGCATGGCACGCTGCTTCAGGCCTTCTGGGCTCATTGATGTCAGTCGACTATCTCCCTCCGGAGGGACATAGCCATCAAAGATGCCGGCTGCGGGACATAAAAGGAATGGTTTTTTTTTAATTTGTGCATTAATCCATGTACAATGACTGATACAGAATTTTTTACCCCTTACGAAGCTTCAATCGTGTGTTGGGCAGCTCAGGTCACAGAGTCTTGGTATGGGTTAACAAGATAGGCCCTTCTGTGTTTATGACATGCCATCGTTAAATAACTTTCCACTAAGTTTATTGTATCCATCTGGATCTCTCGCAGAACAGTGCAACCCTTCATGTCAGAGAATGTCCTACGGAAACGGATATTACAGAGCTACTACTGAGATCCCTTCGTGTAGCCCCTGTTCAATACATTAGGGGGCAGCACTTTTCCACCCATTCTGCCACCGAGAGTAACGTTCATCGCACTACAAGTCACACTGACAATTTAAATTCTCAAAGCTGCAATTAAGCCGAATTGTGACGGAACCCATTCCATGTGATGGGGTTTTTTGTGCAATGATGACAGGGCCAAAACCATGAACTCGCTACCCTTAAAAATCCGGTTTTCGAACCCAGGATACCAGCGGTGCCAACTCAGTTGCTCCGACTCCTGAGCCAGCCAGTAACCTGCAGACCTTTGCACTACCGTGTAACAGCCAGGGCAGCCCCCACAGGAGATCAGAGCGTAAGCAGCGCGTGCGGGGCGGCACCCACCTGTGCAGGTGATGTTGATGGGCCTCTCCACATACTGCTGCCGCACCACGACCCCAGCCGCCCGAGCCCGTGCC